ATGTGACCTGGCAGAACCATCCAGCGTGGGCACCCCTACCGGTAGGCGAGACATCCTGGCACGCTTCCCCCCCCCCTCCCTGATGGGGGCTGTGGTGCTAGTAATTCCACGACTGTACTATCGTCGTTGACAAAAAAGCAACTTTGGTCTACGGACCGACGGCTTCATCGAGGCCACTCGTGTTTACCGTTGGATCGTTGAAGGGCAACTGAGTCACCCGTCTTACCAACGGGGGATGGGGGGAGTGTTGGGCGGGTGACAACCGAGTCGTTTTTATGGGAATGCTGTAAGTAAGGCACTTTGCCGCAGTTGTGTGATTTAGATGGACATCCACCCAGCCTTCTTTTCTATCTGTCGCTGTTCGCGTTTACTTTTTCAAACAAAAGAAACAGTTTAGAGAGCAGTGAAGAATCTGAGCTGTTTAAAAGGCGGACGTTGACCTGATACAGTATAAATGTCCTGTCGTATTTGGTAACCAAGTTCAAATGGTCTGGCCAGACGAGTTTGGTTTTCTTCAATTGCAAACCTAAATCGTTTAAGTTTATTGGCAGTCCTCGGTTAGCATTGGGAGGCAGGGAAGTCAGAAACGCGTGTCGTTCCGTTTTCGTGTGACCTGTTTCGAGGAGGAGGAGGAGGAGGAGAAGGGAAAAAAGAGGTCAAATGATGTATTCCAATGTTTGTTCTGGAATTTGTACGCTGATGTCGCGGTAATATTCTTCGCCTTTGGGAATCCACTTGATTAAGTGTTAAAATGAAATAGGATAAGCCTTATTTAGGTAGGGTTCGGGAATATGGATCCTGTATGACATTTGGCCTTCTGCTGAATTCTAGGGAGTGAAGTTAGGTTCACTGTTAAAACCAGGATTAAGAAAGTTAGTTTTATGAGGATTTATAATAGACACGGTGCTGGAGTTAGAAATTCAGCATGTAAATTCTCCGGAATTAAACACACGATCATCTGTAATACGAGGTGTCCGTAGTCTGTTTGACTACTATTCAGTCAAAACACCTCAGGAGATATTTCACTTATCGAAAGTTTAGTCCCTTTGTTCTGTAAACATCTTTTTATATAAGAGTCCCGGTGTAGACTTTATGCACATCTCGGCAGGAACACTATTCCGGGAAATCTCGATTATTTCGGTCATTACCGTAATCACGTCATTCGGTTTCAATGTCCATGACATCTCAAAAACGCGCAGTCGGGCCTTCGGCTATAGGTATTCTGCCAGTGTTCCCATCTGGAGACCGAAAGACTTCGAGGTCGGGTTTGACATTCTCGTGTTCTTCCGGTTGCCGTGTTTTTCCGGTTGCCTATCACAGCTTCATAAAAAATTCCCCTCTGGATCGACAGACTGCATGGCTTAAAGACGAATTGTGGTGACTTTTCATCGCGTCATCAATCGGAGGCGTCTCTCATATATGATAACATCAAGGCGGTTCTCTGCCAGTCCGTTTCTCTGCGAGGGTACTGGAGATCAAAGAGTTTACTGACTGCCGATTGAGAGTAAAGTAGATTTGAGTGTAGTCCTGTGCGCGAAATAATCTCTGGGTGAAAATGTGTACTTTAGCTGTGATGACGGGGATGCATAGTCCCATCTACCAGAAGTTGTGAAGACAAATTGCATTCGCTCTTCATTGCAGGCTTACATTTCTGCTCAGGCAAACTGACCAATAGACTGGAGTGAGTTCGGTCGTTCAGGATACGTAGAAGAAGCCTTCAGGCCTCTTCAGAGATTATCGCCACTAGGTGGTTAGAACTTTGTAGCCAAATCATGGAAACAGGAAATCATCATTTCACGAGAACTGTGTGAACGCTGCAAACCTCCCTCGGAACAAGTCTTCTCACTTTGCTTCGATCGTGCATTTCTGGGGATCTATCAAAAGTCCAGGAGGACCTCGGAAAAACTCCTTGTGGTTTCGAAGAAAAAAACTAGGGAGCCATTCTTCCTGTCCCCTGAGAGAAGTCCGATAGGTTATCTCGTTGGGACCCCACCCTGACGAAAGAGCCTCCTTCCACCTCCGGAGCTTTGTTTAGTTAATATTTGTGCCTTTGCTGCAGGCGTCGTCTGCTTGCCCGGTTCTCTTAGTACATGGTCTGCGCCTGGTGTAAAATGAACAAATGGTTTAATTTTTACCTTCCAAATACGATTAATTTCCAATCAGTCGACACCATCAGAGCGCCATGATTTGTGAGCAGGGTAAATATGAGGGTGATTGACGTAACCAACATGGTAAATAACTTTAATGTTTAGGAAACAAGCATTCGGTGCGTCTTAGATAGGTAAATTCTCTTTCAGAATAGTTTTTGTCAACCCTCAACTGAGAACTCGATGTTTCAGAATCAGAACCCTGTTGCCAGCTCAAGTCACTAAAAACTAGACAAAAAGTCGATTATCAAGGAATGGTGCGATCTCCTGGAGTCTTGCGAAGTCTTTCAGATGGTCTTAACCACATTCAGTTCCGCGCGCATTAACCACAATGAGGTCAAAGCCGACGTTCCCAGAATCTCGGCCGTCAGAGAAATTATCCCCCTCCCCTGTGGGAGTGTTTTATAAGACGTTCACATTCCCACAGTGATGCTGTTTCGTTATCTCGAAAAAGCTCAACTTTGTGACTGCACAAAGATTTGCAAATTCAAGAAATGCTTTAGACATAGAAGGGATTTTTCGAAGACAGTAATTTGTGCGAAGTGCGTAAAACGGTGAAGGAGAAGATGTTCGGTTAACGATAGGCCACAGAACGCTGAGTGCCTTATTAAAGTAGAAAGAGGGGAATGGGCTGGGATGTTTGCCCTCAAAAATAACGAGAAACACTGTCTCAGGTTCACTTCCCTTGTCCTTTATGACCCCATAGGAAAACCCTAAGGCAATCACACCTAAATATTACACAACTGAGAAAGAAATACAAATGATCCACTGAAGAATAACTTATGTGCAACCTTTCTATAGTTCCGATTGTGGTCGGCAGCGCTTAGGTCCGTGACTCAAATGATAGTATCTCGTTCAAATATTCAATAGTCTAATGGTAGTGGGCGCTCACCGATCGTTCTTACGGAACTCACTCGTTCCGTTGTGCCTTATGGGCCCTCTTTCGAGCCCAACCAGCAGCCGCACAGCGGCGCATGATATAGGCAGAAGGGCATTACCGACAAAGACAAGGGAGACTGTCTCCTTTGTTTTTGTCGGTAATGCCCTTCTGCTTATTCAATAGTCTCCTGATCTGAGTTCAAAGCTTAAACTCCTTCGTCTGCCATTGGCGCATACCCATCTGATGATGTCTAACAAGCCAGGGCGTGTCATCTTTGCTGCCAATTAGTTAAAACGGGAGAAATCGTTTAAAAAAGATGCGATTAGATACGGTTGTAGCCGCGATACCAAGCAGTGTAGCAGTCTTCCTAAACTGTCTGATTGTTTCTCATTGGAATCCATCGAAACATGATACAACACATTTTCAGACCCTGTCTGGGTGAGCATTTCTCACAGACAAGTGAATTTATCCGTCCTGTCGTTTTACTAAAAAGCGATTCGGTGTCTGCTTCAAATTAAAGAAATGATTTATTAACATGAATAAAGTTACTTGTGACCGAATAGTGAATGGGTGACCCAAATGGAACAATGTCGATCGGATCAAGGTCATGACTAGTCCTTTTAAAAACGAAATATGCCGGGAGCCATACTGCCTACTTATCCGCTCTATCCACAGATGTTGGTATACGGTCAACACGTTATTTTTCGAAAACCAGCCCAGCCTTAAAGAGAATAAAATGCTCAAATTCATTGTCAGACACGTTTATGGAGGTATGATTCTGTTGTAAAGAGCTAGTTTAAACGCAGCGGTAGATATATACTTTTTACTTTACCACCATTCGTCCCATAAGCAAAATTAGACAAGCACTTGCATATCAAGTACCTTGATTCCTAACGTACTCGAACTTCCAAATACCTTGAATGTTTTACCTTTACGTGAACCGACTGGTTACTTTTTATGTGGGAAATTGCAGTTTTTCGTCGGGGCAACAAAACTCCGTCCTTAGTATTGCGACAAAGGAAAACGTACTTCTCTTTCATGCTAAGCTGGAGCTCACGGGCTTGCTCTGAGTGTAAGACGCTGGGTGCCAGTACTGTTTTGTCTTGAGATCGCGTTTGCGACAGTAGGAATGGTGGACTTGTGACGAGCAGTGAAGGATAGAAGAAAGGGTGGCACCCATGATATGGCTATTTTGGGTCACCCGTTACCTTTGCCTTATTTTTCCCTATTTTAAGAAGCGTGCAGGTTTGCTGCCAAGTTCTCTAACACCTAGTAAATTAGATGGCTGCCTGAGGGGTTTCCACAGCCCCAGTCGAATGAAATAGAAACAGCTAGGATGAGACCAGCGAGCTGATGCCAACTGACCCCCTACGATAGCGTGTTCTTAGCTCATGGATAGTATCTAATAAGTCAGAGCCAACAAACGGATGGTAGCAGGTGCCTACAGGTACGTCAAACTGGGGTGGCTCAAAGGCGAGCCGAATCCGTGCCACTGACCTTTCAATCAACGAGGGCGTCATCATCCGTCGTCAACAAAGCAGGTCGCGTATATATGCCACTGTCGACGGGAGCGAATAAGAGAACTCAGGCGGTTTTACAACGGAATTTTCTACCGCTTGGATTCCAGTAGCCTGCTTCTGTGGTGCTAAGATTCGAGGTCTGGGCATGAACCGCACCTCCATAGGGACGCTCAAATACTGCCATCCGGCTTTGGCGTTTCTCAGCACATCTGCTGAAATCGACCAGAAATTCCATTGCACGTGGAAAAAACATCCATCTGGGTGGGGGTTGGATGAAAACTCGGGAATTTGCGGAACTTCGACCTCTTACGCGTTCCTCACACCCCTCTTCCCTCGGTGGCAAATGAAAGAGTCTCTAAGACTGAAGGTAGACCTGCATCTAGTGACGTGCTGCCTCACAAAAATTGGACCTTATTTACTCAAATCCCGCGACAGTGGGAGATGAAGGCGTGAATGCAGTGTGATCCTCCTCTCCTCCACAGTTGTCAGCGCATCGCAATAATTTGGAAGTTTCTCACGCCTGCCACGGTAAATAACTGTCGCGTAATAGCACGGACCAAATCCCTTATCCCTTTTGTACACTGGTGGAAAATCCGAGTCAAGCCGACTGGGGTTGTTACGACATAGGGCCTGCGCCCCCTACGTCTGTGCACATGTGCCTGGCTCCCATTTAAGTAGTACGCTGCAACTCCGCCCATCCTAGGACTCGATTTAACGGCCAGCGCGTTAGACGCCCGATGATCCACCGTGGGGTGCTAACTTTGGTGAACGCCGAAAGAAGATTGCTTACCAAGAAAAACGTCTTTTATAGTGCGACTTTAGCTTTAACCCTAACTAGGGGTGTCTGGTTGTGTTTCAGACACCAGGAAGAAATAAGTGAGTGCTTGAATTGCCTCTGCTACTAATTTGTGGTTATTTGAACTGCTTCACTGCCAATCGCACTGCCATTCCTTAGATACACATCTCGGTATGGGTATTTTATCCAAACGCTACCTACAAGGGGAAATCATATGATTAACACGATTATCCCTCTATGTAAACCAGTTTGAACTAAGGTCTATAGGCGCGGACTGAAAACTGATATGAATATCGGGGCATGATATACATTAAATTGCCAACAAGCAGTCAGTAGTATGCACTGGGGTTACAGGATACCATACTCGCATCACAGGCGCTAGCTAAAAGTCAGACACGTGTTTCGTCGATATTCTGTCTCTGCATGACACAGATGCTAGGGGCTCGACTCATCAGTGGGTCCCCCAGCATCCTTCGTGTGCTTTCTGGTAGATACTCCGGTTTAGGAATTGTTGTTCCCAAGGAAATTAAAAAGCAACAATTTCTAAACTGGGGTATCTACCAGAAAGCACACGGAAGATGCTGGGGGACTCACTGGTGAGTCGAACCCCTCGCAGCTGTGCCATGCAGAGACTGAACATCGACGAAACACGTGTCGGGACTTTTAGCTAGTACCGGTGCTGCGAGTATGGTATCCAGTATCTCCAGTGCATACTACTGACTGCTTGTTGTCAGTTTAATGAATGTTACGCAGTTATGACGCTGTACCTGATGGACTACGGCCCTGACATTCATATCAATTTTCAGTTTGCACCTAAAGACTTGAGTACAAACTAATTTGCTCCAGCTTTTCGGTTATCTTCTGAGGAAATTAGAAAATAACGATCGTCCCTACCCACTTTTGTCAGACAACTAAATCCTTCACAGGGATTTACGGAAAATTTTCACTAGAAAACTTGATTTAATTAAATCATATCATTTACGTAAACGGGTAACTTAATCTGACCCCGTTTCTTTGTGCAGATGCAAGAGGGCACCCGTCTGGTCGGTTTGCTGAGGGCCGAGGAACCTGCACTCACAAGTATCAGGACTGACACGCTCGAATCTCAAACCTCCGAACAAAGTTTTTTCCTAAATTCTGACCTCTTTATATAAACAGTTGCCAACCAGACTCCAAAATGTGAGACTACTTGCCAAACTTCACGCAAATCGTGACAGCATCAAATTCTCACTGCACCCTAACTTTACCAGGCCGCAAGGTGTATGATTTGTTTGTTTCCTGTTGAGTTTGATTGACTGTCGCAGTTAATTCAATTATGCACGGTATTCATTCAACTGCGAGACGGAAGACAGCAATCATCCACTTCACCCTGTAACACCGGTCTGGAGCAACTTCAGACGGTTATAGAGGTACAGGCAGTCAGAAACGGAGGTTTTGTATCAACAAAGACAACGAAAGCGGTATGTTTCCACATCTGCTCGTTTCAACCAGTGGCGGGGATGTGACGGACAGAAAACTTCATATGGCATGAAAATGATCCTTCTAGTCTGCCTTCTTCCTGTTGATAGTGCTTTTTGACTGTGAAAGTTCGTTGCAATAGGTGTTTTATGGTTGAATAAAGACTTATACGGCAGCTGCGCACGATCATTTATGCTTGCAATGAGGCAAGCGTGCCCCTGGCCAATAAGAGAAAGCGGGTGCAAATCGATTTCGTGCATGATCCACAAGTGATAAGTAGCATAGTAGAAGCAATTATCTAACGGCGCTTTCTCACCACTCTCTGCTTACTGGCGTAGATAGACATTTATTCCTACTTGGAGGATCTCATACCGCCCCGATTGGCGTGCCATGAAAGACTAAATCCAGTCTTCAGCCGGCAACATGTCTCTGACGAAATCCTGCCTATATCTCACCTGTGAACCATCTCTAAAGTGAGTGCGTGAATGTAGGCGTGCGCTTGACGGTCATGCGGTAGACTAATACAACTGTACCAAACGTCAACTGCTGACAGCCTTTGCAGGACCTATGCTCCTCGTCATAAGCACCATCTTTTCGTCTTCCAAATCGCAAGAGAACAATGCCAGACAGATACACCCTCGATCTCTTCACTGGCAAACCGGAACTACGTGACTTTGTCAGGAGGCGCGATCACCTTAGTGTGCTCGTGACAAAGCAGGGGGCGAGTTGTCGAATCTTGAACTGACCGTCGCCTATTGGTCTTGGAATGATGCCGCAACCCCAAAGTCAACAGGCGGTGGCCTCGACAGAAGAATTTGTTAACGAAACGGAACACCACAACATGCGACCCGACGGAATACAATACTAAGCTGGACGGCAATCTGAGCAACCTCAAAGCCCTGGAAAATGTAACAGTGAGTGCATCTGGCAGAGACAGCAGAATGTTATCCAGGCACTGCTGTTGCTGTTGGAGTCAACGGACCGGGTCAAGCCGATTGGGAATGAAACCAGCTACAGGAGTTGTTACGACACAGGGCCTGCGCGGCCTTCGTCTGTGCACATGGGTTTGGCTCCCATTTAAGTAGGACGCTGCAACTCCGTGCATCCTGGGACTCAATTCAACAGCCCAAGATTTCAGCATTCTGGATGGCGAACGTGTGTCCAGAGTTTACGCAGTGTTCTGCCACCAGGGACAACGTCCCCATCCTCCTTACGACCCTCGTGTGTTCTCCAACACGGATCTGGAGTCTTTTACCGTCCAGCCTTTTTAGAGATCTTGACATTGTATTCTGTCGGGTCTCAAGCTGTCGTGCTCCGTTCCGTTGGTGCCTTCTTCTTTCGAGGTCACCACCGGCTGACTTGGGGGTTGTAACAGCATTCAAGATTTGACACCTCTCTCCCTGCTTTGTCACGAGCACGCTAAGGCGATCGTGCCACTTGACACAATCATGTAGTTCAGGGGTTGCCAGTGGCGATATCGAGGGTGTATCTGTTTGGCGCATGTCCCAAAATAAAGCCGCATACTTTCAGTGTCGCCATTAATTGCAACTGAAACGGACAGACCTGCAAAGTAACTGACTAATTACTAAAGCGCCTGAAGGTCAACGATATGCAGATAGGAGTGAAACTACGCTGGCGGGCGAGGTGGGGATAAGCGTTAATTTTTAGATTTAATTCTCTTAAGAAATCAGTATGTTAGCTTGCGGTGAATCTTTTGGGGAAAAAGCTTTCTATGTCCGGCCAGAAAGTGGAAATACATGTAGTTGGGGTTAAAATTCATCGGCTTCAGCGAGATAGCCGCGCAGTATCAATGAGCTGCCATAAGACAGTTAGTATTATGTAAACGTCTTACGATTCGGCACATTGACAGCACAGATACCAGCTCAAAGTCCACACACATATCCCGCCGACCTTGTGCCTGCAACAGATGGGAGGGGCTTTGGCTCATTACTTTGTCCCCCAGCGTTCCGTATGCTCTTATAGTCCCAAAACTGCAGCTGGAAGTAAACACCAGAGACCTACCCCGGAGGCCTCCCAATTAACCAACAGATCCAGAAAGTTCTCATCCAGACCCAGCAGGCGCGGTGAACAACGGTCAACTCTGGGACAGGCTTATTCAGGGCAAAGCGCTTAGAGGAAATTGAGGCGGCATGGCGAACACGCAAGGCAAAAATGCCGCGAACAAATGTCGCCAGCGACCCTCAAAACTCCAGACTGGTCTTCTCGGGAGCTGCAGGTTAGCTGCAAAGTCAGAAAAACCAATATTTTTTTTCGTGAGACCAAAAATACTTCTCACTGAATAAATTCCTTTCACCCACCATTGTGGTATTATTACCCACCCCACTCAGTTTTTTCTTCCTTGGTGAATGTGCGTGCATACGTGTTTAGGCGAGAGGGAGGGTGAAAGAGGGAAGAGAGAGATATGTAGGGCAGGATTTATTTTGAAACTATCCTCCCAGCGTTTGCGACAAAAACGTTCTCCAAACACTAAGCTCAGTACACAGAAAACTGAGTTCTTAGAGATAAAAATTCTGGACTTATGCGGCGCGTCTATTGCGTGGATAGATAGTTTTGTTTCATTTTCTGGATTTCAGTCTAACTGCAGGTGAGAAATCGTGCTGGGTTTGATTTATAGGCGACCGTTTATATGTCGACGCATGGAAACCACGATGTGTTCGGCGGAGTGAATTCGTAGCAGCTGATGCAGTGTGGACGGGATGGTCAACATCATTAACAATTCTACTGACAAATTGTTCGACCGTTACAAAATGATATCGACTAAAACTATGCTTGGCACGCCAGTAAAAGAGGGTACGCCATGGAGATGCCTTAAAAATAACAATCTCTTGTTAATAAAGAAGGGAAAATGTCCTAAGGGATCAAATAGAAGCATCTGCAAACTACTGGATCAGGACCCTGTGTTGTTAGTAAAGCGACCGTTGAATGTAACAAAAAGCTGACATATTTTATTCAAGAGGTTAGGCAGGAAGAGAGAATAGAAATTTGAAGACGAGAAAGATGCCGCATTCTCACAGTCTCTAAAGATGGCCTCCTGTACGAGACCGAAAGCAAAGACTAATACACCTACTATTCCGGAGATCGTTTGTTCATCTTTACAAGAAGAGAACCTACTGGGAAAGGTGCCAAAAGCTTCAGGAAGTGGAAATGATTCTGACCAAAAGATCCACTGAATTAATCTTTGGCCATTAAAAAGAAGAACGTATTGCGACGACCATAGTGAAACATGATCCCAACTTACACTACTAATTTTGTCATCAATCCCATTTTGACAACCACATAATCAGCAAAGTTAACAATACAAGCAGTCAATGGACAGTCTCAGATCATCAGCGCGAAGCGAAGAGAGCCGAGAGTAGGATATGAAACCCATAAATATTCCGCGGTCATTAGCAAGGAGAGTAGAATTTTGACCACCACATTAGAAAAATCAAGCACAGAAAAGAAAAAAATCCGGAACCTAGGAGGTAATCCGATTAAGAGAGTCGCATTTGGATATGTTCTTAAGATGAAGTTGACATGGGATAGCACTGAGTGTTACCAACCCAAGCGATATCACACGTCCACTGTCCTCCCGACAATGTTGTCTCTGCAGTAATATCATTCAAGAGGGGTCCGAAATCCCAGGAATGAAGTGTACTGCGTGTGGAGTTAGGGATCAGGTTGTGTATATCACACGCACGCGGGCATCTTAGCAATGTTAGCCACAGTGGTCCCATTCACCTCTTAACATCTTCACCGTACCTTGCCATTGGAACGCGGTGGTCCTGAATGCCATGCAAGTCTGTATGAATTGCTCAATCCCACACGTAAACATTGACATACTAACGTAACTTCGCCATATATATATATGCATAGTTTTATTACCGACAAAGACAAGGGAGACTGGAATGGTCACTTCTGGTTTATTAGCCGTCGTCAGCCAGTCATACCCAATCCCGAAGTGTGGAACACCTGAGGCTCGATCTCTCTACTTTTTGGTTAGAAGACCAACGCCTCTAACCACTGAGTCACGAGCTCGCTGTCCTGTCAGTTGCGATCCAGAATATACAATGGTTGAGAGGCGTTCACCGATCGTGTTACGGAACTTACTCGTCACGTTGTGCCTTGGGGCTCGCTCTCTTGAGCCCAACCAGCAGCCGCACAGCGGCGCATAATATAGGTAGTATGTTATTGCGGACCAAAACAAGGGAGGCTGGAATGGCCATTTCTGCTTATATCATGTGCCACTGTGCGGCTGCAGGTTGGGCTCGAGAGAGAGCCCGTAAGGCACAACAAAACGAGTGATCTCCGTAAGAACGATCAGTTAGCGCCCCTCTACCATTGCATATTCTCGGTCGAAATCGACAGGACAACAGGCCCGTGGCCCAGTGGTTAGAGGCGTTGGACTTCTAACTAACAGGTCGCGAATTCAAGCCCCAGGTGTTCCAAACTTCGGGGTTGGGTACGACTGGCTGACGACGGCTAATAAGCCAGAAATGGCCATTCCAGTCTCCCTTGCCTTTCTCGGTAATAACATACTGTCTATATCATGCGCCGCTGTGCGGCCGCTGGTTGGTCTCGAAAGAGAGCCCGTAAGGCACAACGGAATGAGTACGTTCCGTAAATACGATCGGCGAGCGCCCCTCTACCATTATATATGCATACATATGTATGAAAATAGTAGGCTCTTCGAGCA